CAACTTTACAGATCTTCTTTATGCACCAAGAGCTTGTAACACTCCAAAGAGAAAGGAAAAATTTAAATCACATCATATGACCCCTTTAACTTGCAGATGAACTGTATCAAAATGTAAATACATATATATATCTATGTATATCTATCTATCTATCTATCTATCTATATATATATATATATCAAAAAGAAGTAGAAATGCATTGCTATTATCACAGTTTAAATAAAAAATAACTTCATAGTAGAACCATCTGTTGACTTTGGCTCTTGGCTTCAATCCTGTTTGGCATCCTATTAATTTTCTTACTATTGTGCAGATAATACAATTAATTACATTTAAGTGTCTAAGTATTACTAGAGCGTATTTCTGAAAGTCTGATAATATAACAAAAGCATAGATAGTTACTGTATAAAACAGAAATCCCCTGTCATGCCATGTGTCAAATCTACACGCATATCTGTGGTTTCCTAAACTAACTGAATTAGTAATAGTGGGAGTTGCTTTTGTGTGTGCGGAATGTGTGGGTATGCGAGTTTTAGAAATAAGGAAACAAAACCCAGAAAACACCCCAAATCTCTCTAGCGATCTGACAACGAAATCATTCACACACGCTAACCTCCTAGACACATTTAATTCAGCATCTTTAATAAGGCAACCCCCAATTCAGCTGTTCTGCTTAGATAAACTAAGATTCACAGTAAAGTACCACAAAGAACAGTGTGAGTTGAACAAACTGAGAGGAATTTCTAGTAGAGTCCACGGGATGACTGACTTGATAATGAGTCATGAGAAAAGTATGAAACGGGGAGTAGAGAAGTCTGTGCTGTCCACCAAAAGGAATGTTATCTTTTTCTCAGATGTCATTAAAACAAGCTCCTAAAGTAAATAGATGAAATGTTTCCTTGTAACGTCAGTGAAATTTCTTCCCATTTTTATGCTATCTTCCACCGCCATTTGATTTTCTGGATTTATGAATACTTTTTTACAATGAATACCATCAAATTATTATTGAATACCATACTGATGGTCTATCTATCTATCTATCTATCTGTCTATCTGTCTATCTGTCTGTCTGTCTGTCTATCTGTCTGTCTATCTGTCTGTCTGCCTTCATTCCTTTTTGCCATGTGGCCTGTCTATCTGTCTGTCTGTCTGTCTGTCTGTCTATCTGTCTATCTATCTATCCACCTTCATTCCATTTTACCATGTGGCCTTTTGACAAATCAGAAACATTATCATAAGCATTAGTCACACAAGCCAAGACAATTAGCAAATTCCAAGACAAGTACAATTCCTGTAGAGTCATTTCACAAAACCTGAATGACACCATCTTAAACATCTGGGGCACAAATCTCTAAATCTCTTTGACAGACATGGACATTTTACTCATAATGTCAGCAAAATTGAAAGATAGTGAGGCAAATTCTCCTGTGGCCAATCTAATTTCTAGTCTCAACCTCCAAGCATGTGTGTGTGTGTGTGTGTGTGTGTGTGTGTGTGTGTGTGACCAATGAGTGTGGGAACTTGGATTGTACCCACAGTCCATCTGCTAAAAATGGCAGAAAAACAATCCCATTTAGAGGGATTGCAGTCAGGGTACACGCAACAAATCTAGAACCAAGTACGTCTTTGCTCTCTAAGCTTTGGCAGGTTCATCAAGCCAATCTGGCTCTTTAAATGTGTGGTCAACACAATGACTGAAGCCCCTTAAAATAGAAATTCTACATAACATTTAAAAAGAATACTAAGAAAACTAAGCAAGACTTTCCACAATGAGGTTATAAATGAAATCCCTGCAGTCTACACAGGAAACTATGATAGGCTAAAATAAAACAGAGCCACAGCTCAGACCGTTTTAGATCATCTTTCCTTATTCAGCCAAGGAAGTGATGAGTACAAATAAGGGAGGCCTATTTAATGGTGTTATTGGTGATACTCCAGTGAAAATAACAGGTAATATGTTTTGACTTACATTCTCATATGTAGATTATGTGAATGTTTACTTTATGTTTATTATAACAGGTTGGCATGTTTAATAACAGTGAAAAGTAAACTTACTGGGCAGAGAAGATGGAAATGTTCAATAGCTGTCAAGACTTTATGGTTTGTATCTTGTAAAAATGATAATCAAAAAATAAACATACAATGAGAAATATTCACTGGGGTAAAAATGTGACAACTAGCCCCGGTCTTTCTTATACATATTCTTTAAGGACACAATGATTCTTCTGTTAATTAATGACTGGTCATATGTCATGCTTAATGTGAAGCCAAGTTTAAGAAGATGAACAAAATAAGTCGACTAAAGGTGAAATACTCACACGGCAGACGTTTGTTGTGGAGGTTCGTCCCCTTTGAGCTCATGACTCCAGAGTGACAGAGATGCACAGCTGTAAAACTACCAGCAGCTTCAGTCAGTCTGCCGTCCCAGAGCAAGACTGGACTCTAGCACAGCTTATCTCCCCCCTCTTTCTCTCTCTCTGCGAGGCTTTAGGCAGTAGATTCAGTCGTGCACGTCCTCTGCAGCAGCGCCAGTGGCCGTATCTCTCTGCTCAGACCCAGACCTCAGGTCTTGGGCAAGTGGATCATACCAAATCCACTCTTGTGGGAGGAGGACAGTAGAATTTATAGATGGGATCAGACAGAGGACGGAGGGAGGGGTTATGTAATGACTAACGTCTCTTTCTTACATGTCATTCCATGAAAGGAGAACCATGTTTCTGTAACATCAGATGATGTGCACTAAACACTTACTCATTTTAAATGAACTATAAACTTATTCTGTGTACAAGTTTAACTTGAGAGATCCAAAATGTTCTCACTAACATAGTGAAACCTGTTGATTAACTAGTGAATTTACAACCAAATCATGTTTCTATTTAAATCTAGTGTTTTGCACAGGTTTTTGGTTAGGGAATAGATAATATTATTAACCTGATTAAAAATATATATATATATTTTTTTTTTT